ATAGTAGCTTTAATTTGATATGCCGTAGCCTCTTTGCCTAGATCCCCCTGCATGTCCTTAGTGTTCAGCTCAGTTACTGTTCCATTGGAGCTTCCGTCAACCATAGGATTAACACTCGCTCCACTTTCATCAATTTGAGCTGGTGTACTTATAGTCAATTTTCTGTTAACCTCCGAGCTAATCAAAGGAGTGATCTCATCACTTCCAGTCATAACTAATCCTTGTTGTTCTGGCGTTTTCAGCTCATGACCTTGCCCTTGAATTGCCTTTCCAGCTTTAGAATTGTTACTAATTGAGCTTCCATTTATTGAGATCGGCGTTTTAGGAACTTTTTTTGGCGGACGCAACCAACGCACGTTTAGCTAACGTGAGCTGAGAGCATGATAGAAGACGAGCTTGATCACACCCATGCTTGTTTTCATTATGGATTTTCTTATTAATCTTTGCATTTTATTTTGTGCAAAGATTATCTTTGATGAAAATTCTAATCTTTATTTCTTTGATGATGATCGCTTTGCCTATTGTACTTATTAATCTTGCTCAATTACTATTGTTGTGCAAATTTATAAAAGAAAAAGAAAAGAGATGTGTGTAGTCAAGGTTACATTAGCCTCATCGAAGATTATTTAATCATCGAAAAATGGTCAGAAATGTCCTTAACGTATTAGAAATGGCTCAAAAATGCCCTCCTTCCACCTATGGGTTCAAATTTACCCTCAATATTATTTTTAGTCTTAAAAATACCCCTCTCTTAACGGAAAGATGGCATGGCATTGATGTGCATTTTAATTAAACATGTAGCATTTATTTAGTCTGGAAAAAAGTGAATTGTTTTTTTACTAAAAATTGAAAAAAATGAAAATATTTTTTTTTCCATTTTTACAAAAAAATTGCTTTAAAAAAAGCTAAAAAATATTTTCTAAAATAATATTTTTGTAAAAACTGAAAAAAAAATTGAAAAGCAATTTTCTAAAGCAATGTTTTTGTAAAAGCTGAAAAAATATATTTCCTCTTCTTCTTCCTTCCTTGTTTGTCCATATGCTTTCTAAGTTTATTTTTTCATATATTTTAGTTCTTCTAATGAGTTAGTATATCAAAGCTTAAATATTTTCGTTTTTTTTAGTTTTTAGTAAAAAAAAATTTATTAGTCTCGAAAAATGTAGCATTTATTTAGTTAAACATGTAGTATTTATTTAGGAATAGATTGGCTTTCTGAGTTCTGGAAAAATGATATTTTAATTAAACATGTAACATTTATTTAGTTTGAAAAAAGTAAATTTTTTTTACTAAAAACTGAAAAAAAACGAAAATATTTCAGTTTTGATGTACTAACTCATTAGAAGAACTAAAATATATAAAAAAATGAACTCAGAAAGCATATGGACAAACAAAGAAGGAAGAAGAAGAGTAAATGTTTTTTTTTCAGCTTTTACAAAAACACTGCTTTAGAAAATTACTTTTCAGTTTTTTTTCCAGTTTTTACAAAAATATTATTTTAGAAAATATTTTTCATCTTTTTTTAAAGTAGTTTTTTTGTAAAAACTGGAAAAAAATATTTTTATTTTTTTCAGTTTTTAGTAAAAACAAATTCACTTTTTTCCAGACTAAATAAATGCTACATGTTTAATTAAAACGGAAAAGGGTCAGAAATGCCCTTAACGTATTAGAATTGGCTCAAAAATATCCTCCTTCCACCTATGGGTTCAAATTTGCCCTTAATGTTAAAATGTCCATCAATGCCATGTCATCTTTCCATTAAGAGAGGGGTATTTTTAAGCCTAAAAATAATATTAAGGGCAAATTTAAACCCATAAATGAAAAGAGGGTATTTTTGAGCCATGTCTAATACGTTAAGGGCATTTCAGACCCTTTTTCCGTTTAATCTATCTAAGAACACTCATCCCAGTTGAATACAGTTTAATCGCAATGCTAACTCCAATTGGGCTGACATATTACCTTAGGCCCATGGCAGTCGAGTCGGGAAGGTTAACTTAGTAGTTTCCTTTTTAAAAGGAAATACAATAATTAATAATGAACTAGACTAGTAGAAGGGGTAAGGATGCTAGACCGCTACTCAATACCGGATAATCCACGTTCACGGGTCTCTGGCTCTCTATCAATAAAGCAGTAACAAGAATATTAACAACAACAAGATAATAAAGTAATCGAAATCAAAGAAATAACTGATAGATTATTTGACCATGCTATAAAAATCAGTTTATTTTGAAAAGTATTTTAAAAAAAAATATTTTTGGTGAAAAACAGTTTGTGTTTGGCTAATTTACTTGAAAAGCACTTCTGAGCATCAATTAGTGTTTGGCCAAACTCTCAAAAGTGCTTTTCAAAAAAAGTGTTTTGGGAGAGAAACTATTTTTTCTATTTCTCCAAAACTGCTTCTGCTTCTGCTTGTATTCAAAAGCACTTTCTTTCTCTAAAAGTTTAACAAAATACTTCTAACTTTGAAAAAAAATATATTTTTAATTTGGAGAAACTTGATCAAACAGAATATAAGTATAAGAAAGTACGAAAATAATATTAATACTATATATATATATATATATNTATCAAAGTTGATGTACTCGGCTATTTACCTATGGATCCCAAAAAAGAAAATTGAGCTCCTGCACTATAAAATGGGATATTACTGTACAATTCATAACTTATGACAGACAAAAGTCAGCACTCAGCAGAACCCAACAAGACTCAATGATACAAAGACAAAGGAGGTCCAAGTCATCTATCCTTGTGACACCTTGTAATAAAGATTTATAACCGTTGGATTTTTAGTTCTATACCTGAATCTTAAGCCTCTCTTCTCCTTCAGAAAAGAATATTCTTTGTCCTGCTTTATTTTATTTCTTTGTGGATAAGCTCTGTATTCACAAAATTATTTTACTGTGCTTTTGAAGCTGACACTCTCCTCTCTCTCTCCATCTCTTTGTGGGGACATCTTAAAACTCTCTCTCTCTTGCAAGTTTCAATGGCTACTGAACTTGTCAACAAGACTCAAACACATCTTTGACTCCATAATTCAACTTTGACCCCTTCTTTTTCCTTCCATTTCCGGCCTTCATTTTCTTGTTTTTTTGTTACCAAATCATGTTTTACTGTTCTATCTTTTCTCAAAATTTTGACCCTTTTTCACATATTTCAGAAAGATTTAAACTTTGGAGAATTTGAAGGGAAAAGAAAACCTTTTGTGTTTTAATATATACACTCTTTGTAGTGTTATGTCTGTGTAGTTCAGTTGTCTTCTGTGGTTTTTAAGCAAATTTTGATCTCTTTTTATCTTATTTCACATGGGCTCTTTCTTAGTTTTAGAATAAACATGCATGTGTTGGAGAAACATTAGGGTCTGTTTGGAAAGTCACCCGGTAATTGGAATTGGTGTGTTATTACACAGTCTAGTAATTACACAATATAATAATTACGACGACATGTTTGTTTGTCATAAAGTAATTACAATGAAATTACAAGTGTAATTACTCAATTAGATTAAATTATAAATAAAGTAATTATCAAATCTTAAAAGTTAATATAAATAAATATATGCATATAAATATTTTTTTATAAGTATAAATGATATTAGATTTGGTATTTAAGATGCATATTGTTTCTTGAGTATACATTAATTAGTAATCTTATATTTATAACTTATATTATAAAAATAATTGATATATTTTTTTAAAATTAATAATATTTAGTGTAATTAATTATAAAACAAAAAAACATACGCTTTGTAAGAACATCATGGAAAACATGTTTCATAAAATAAATTAATATTTATAAATATAACGTCTTAACATTATTCAAATGTTTGACAAAACTAATCTATCAATTCTAACTAAAAAATAAACAATATGCTATATGAAATAACAAGCTGATATACTACTAAAACAAGTAAATTGGGACCATAAATATAACACAATTTCAAAACAAAAAAAAGTTTAACATATATCAAATTCCAACAACTTAGGATTAGCAAACATAATAAGTTTAACCTCATTCAACAACTACTCTAGTGAGGATGAAAGGCAAGGCACTTGAAAAAGCTCACTTCTCATGCTCTCGGCGCAAGTTAGTTAACCAGCGCCGGTGTGGATAGCCATGGTAGGAGGGCGAGGGCGAGGCCGCGGTGGAAGGACCAAGAAAGTTCCCCTAGTTACCTTTGGAAGTTCTGTCGGAGCACGCATGCAACATGAAACAACAAGGGAGGAAACATAGCTAATTACACCAATTCATCTGAGTGAAATTGAGAAACCCTAACGAGACTGGGCCATCTTCGAAACCAACTGGAGTAGCTAAGAAACTTCAATTAAGTCCAGATCCAGCAATTGAAAAGCGGAATGATGTCGTAGAAGAAGCAATTGCACGCAATTGCACACAATAGTTTAACGATTGAGGATGTGGTGTAGGAAACAAATGGAACAGTACTGAAGCAAAAATTTGAGATCGTTGAACCAGCACAACAACAACTAGCACAATAATGGGCGAAATTGTTTGCTAAGAACAGAGCAGTAGAAAATAGTATGGATCTCTTCTATATCGAACCTTAAATAGTTAATGGCAAAACAGTGATTCAACTGGAAAAGGAGGAAGTGGAATGTGAGACTGAAAAATGGAGGGGAGCCCTAATTGCCTATGTAATTAGGGATTGCCCAGGTTACAATGCTATGCGTCGTTATATTGATCAGAAATGGAACAACATTGCAAGTCTTGATTTTTTTATGCATGATGAAGGATATTATATCATCAAATTCCAAACCACAACTAACATGCACGAAATCATATATTTTGGCCCTTATACTATCAATAATCGACCGATCATTTTGAAGCCTTGAACAACATATTTCGACTTTGATAAGGAATTCCCAACTGAAATACCTTTGTGGGTGAAATTCCAAAAATTACCAATGAATTGTTGAGGGAGTAACTCCTTGAATAGGATTGCCAGTGTTATAGGTAATCCTATCTATGCGGACGAATGCATAGCTAAACAGATGCGAATCTCTTTTGCTCGAATGCTAGTAGAAGTTAATGTGACAAAACCTTTGCCAGAGGAAATAGAAGTCATCGACCCTAAAGGGAGATCCTTTCAACAAGTAGTGAGGTACGATTGGAAGCCATTATTTTGCAACAAATGCCAAGTAATTGGCCATGTTTGTCCACCTGCACAAAGAAGAAATGATGCACAACAAGCAGATCAGGTAAAACAGCAAGGGGGAGAAAGGAAAACTACCCAGAACTAGGTAACCAAAGATCAAGCAATTGGACAACAAAGAGCCTCTAATAAAGATACATAATAGAATATAGAACAAGAGGTGTCCCAGTACAAAGAAACAAATGACAAATATATTGAAGGTGGTGGACAAGTATAGAAGGAAAATGCATTGCTACAGAAACAACACTCCATTATGCCATCCTCAAGTGGAATAAAGGTTGTAGAAACCACTCATAACAAAGGGAAAGTAGTATACGATATACCGGAACTAAGCTTGCAAGACTTTCCTGTCATATGTTCAGTACCAACCAAGAATGGGTTTGAATCGTTACATAGAGGTTATAGAGGATCAAAATCAGCACCTCCTGACAAAGAAGGTGGGCTCAACCTTACTCTATGAATTGGCTTGTCTGGAATGTAGGGGGTGCAAATAAGAGGTATAAACAGAAGGAACTGAGGAAGTATCTAAGGGAAAAATACATTACACTAGCAGGCCTGACTGAAACTAGAGTGAAAGAGCATAAAGCTCATAATGGTTCTAATGTAGTTGCTCCAAATTGGGGACTTCAAAACAACTATCATAGTGCTAGTAATGGCAGAATCTGGATGTTGTGGGATACTAGCATCTATATTGTTGATAAACTGAGAGAGGATACACAACTTTTACACTATCAGATTACTATGAAAGCAACTGCTATAACATGTGTTCTAACTGTTATCTATGGTTATAACACATGTGAACAAATGAGAACCTTATGGGATGCACTGAAAGAAATAGCACAAGGCGTAACTATACCATGGTTGATTTGTGAGTATTTTAATGTGGTATTATATCCACGTGATAGACTTTTTGAGAATCATGTCCAATATGCAACAACACGAGACTTTACTAAATGTATGCTTGACCTATTACTAAATGAAGTTTGCTAGAAAGGGGAATACTACACATGGACAAACAAACAACAGAGTAGTGATAGAATATGTAGCAGGCTTGATAGAGCATTTGGCAATCATGATTGGATGATGCAATGGGGTCATGTAGTAATGGAGTATGATGTACCTTTAATCTCAGACCATACCCCTATCGCGCCCCTTTTTCTCGCAAAATCGGGCTTCGACAAGTGACAATTCTTTTAAGGAAGGGTGTTAAAAGAGAGAGAGTCACCACCTAACGAATTAAGGTGCGTTAGGGTACCTATTATGCAGATAACTCTGGATTAACCAGTTGTGTCACCAAAAATCGGGTAAGAGCTCAAATTACCTCGATGAGAGGTGCTAGCACTCTTCGAGGTCCACAACGGTGGGTCCCAACCGAACTCGAATTATATTAATTAGTCTAAACAAGAAGAGACAAAAATTGGTCAAATAAAAATGATTGACTTTTAAACAAAAGTGGGGGAGGGGGGTCCTAAGTGTTTTAGCCTAAAGGATCACCCCCCTGCAACATAAATAATACTTCGTAACTCCCTCGAGGTGGGGTGTTACTCGTATTATTCAGCGGGCAAAGACTATTATCTCCTGCTACCCGATTACTATCTTTAAGTTGTTTACCTAAAACACACTAGTTGATTCTGAATCGTGCCCTATGCGTGCACTACTCTTCCCATGCCTATGGTCCAGGAGACATTTGGACCTCTATCGCAAAGTGGTTCTAGACTTTAACTTAGGTTGCTCAAAAGGAGAAAAGACTAGACGACATGCAAAACAATTTGGACTTTCACGTATAAGCATATAAGGGCTCAAGTTATCCTCCGCACTTAAACAACAGACGCACGCAAACTGATTCATATTGACAGTTACAGATTTTAATAAGTTTGTAGAATCCTATAGGCAAGATCTCTATGTGATTCCAGATTTCATAAGCAAGCAGTTTTACAAGCCTTTTCCTTTTAATACAATTTTTTACAGCATACGTAGTTGGCTACTGATTACAAGCATAAGAGATTAAATCTATAGTCATAATGCCTAAGTGATTCTCGCAGCAACTGACAATGACAATCATAAGAATATGTTCAGAACTGCTTAATCAAGTCCTATAGACATGGTATCTAATAGTGATGATTAGCACAGTGTTGAAGAAATGAGCAAGGCGGTAATTAAGACTGATTCAAACCCGATAGACATGATTTCTATAGTTAAAACTAATTTTTAGATCCTATAGGCATGGCTTCTAAATCTATAGATTAAGCCGCATGTAAACAGAGTCCTATGCGCACATTGAGACATTCATCATTCAATATCCTATAGGCATGGCTTCTAAATCTATAGATTAAGCCGCATGTAAACAGAGTCCTATGCGCACATTGAGACATTCATCATTCAATATCCTATAGGCATGGCTTCTAAATCTATAGATTAAGCCGCATGTAAACAGAGTCCTATGCGCACATTGAGACATTCATCATTCAATATCCTATAGGCATGGCTTCTAAATCTATAGATTAAGCCGCATGTAAACAGAGTCCTATGCGCACATTGAGACATTCATCATTCAATATCCTATAGGCATGGCTTCTAAATCTATAGATTAAGCCGCATGTAAACAGAGTCCTATGCGCACATTGAGACATTCATCATTCAATATCCTATAGGCATGGTTTCTAGCAAGTAGAAGTAGAACACATTTGAACCAAATGAAGAACTTATAGGCAAGATTGCTAACACATAATAATAGAACATGTTTGAGCATAATAACACATTTTAGCTAAGTAACGAACTTATAGGAAGGATTTTTACCAGCTTTAATGTAAGTGTAAGATAAACCCCCTTTCCCACTTTTACTAATACCCCAAAATGTCATTACAAGAATTATTATAGACCCAAAATGAATAGAATAAATTATAAAGTAGAATAGCTATAGGGAGCCTACAGCAAGCCCAAAGATACACCTGGCCAGGCCGGGCCTTCATTCTCATAGTTCATAACAATCCAAAATTACATCTTCATGGACATAAGGCAGCCAGGAATTGAGTGATTCACCTAGTGGGCACAAAACAGAGTTGAGCATATAGAACCAAGGCCCTAGTGTGTCAGAGTTCCCAAGGGCTTCAAGAACCCAGGGCAGTGCTCACACTAAATGGTTTAACAGAGAAAGTTCAGAGGAAAGATTAGGGACCAAATCCTATTATGTCAGAGTTCACAAGGGTCTCAAATAAACCCTGAGCAGTGCTCATACTAGGGAGGTTAGTGGCAAGAGCCTTGATAGCCTTGGCTTTCAGCAGGCTAGGAATAGGGAGTTCAGAATAACATAAGTGATAATGAGGGAGAGTGGACAATAGCTGAGGGACAAAACTGAAGGGTACAAAAATAGTCAAGTTGGGCACATAAAGCAAATAATCAAACAGGCTTCAGGTTTTAAGAACACATTTAGCAAGATTTAGAAGAACAACACCTAGTGCATAAGTAGTTACACATTAACAAAAAAGTTTGCAGGATTGGAGTACACAGACTCATAACAGGGAACAGGTCCGAATTATATTAAATACAGATGCTAGTGTCACAAAATAGCCATGTTAAGTTCACATCAGGTAGAAGAACAGTATTTAGACATAGTAAGGAAGCACAAATTATGACAACATACTGGTGGATCAAGTGAGCCAAAACGTGCTAAGGGGTATATTAATTGAGAACTAGTCATGATTGATAGAACATGATCTTGACATAGAATTAAAACATACTACCTATGCAAGATTGCCATTATAGAGATTCAGAACAGAAAGGGAAGATAAACTCATGTCAGTAAGCGTAAGCATTCAAATCTGACCTAATAGACTAGTTAATCTAAAGGAAGTTCAAATTATGCATATGGAGCATATTCGAATAACAGAATGGACAACCTTAAGAAGGATTAAACACCAAAGAGATGTCAAGCAATAACATATTGGCTAAACAAAATTAAGAGAATCTTGATTACTCGAATTAGGCTTAGGCACATTTCAAATTACCAATATAATGAAGTGAAGATTAGAGAGACCAAAAATTAAAGTAAAGCAATCAGGATCGCATACAGGAATAGCCCAGAAAACACATTATACTATAATCTTCAGAATCAAAAACATATGCAAATAACAGGTAAATAAGAATGGAGTGACAAAAGTTCAGCAACTCAGCAGTTAAGCGAAAACCAAGAAAGAACAAAGTCCACAGTAGCAAGAACCCAAAATTTCTGGCCTTGGCTTTCAGCCGGCCAGGAACCAGAATATAGAACAAGATTATTTAGAGAACAAAGAGCGATAAATTCAATTTTAAGTAAACATTCACGATTCCAGTCTGTCTCAAAAGGGAATGGGGAGGAGTTTATATAGTGTAGGAATTGAACACATAAACATGGAAAATCTTCAGTCAAACACTATAAAGGAAAGCAGTCAAAATCAGTAGGGAAAGGAGAAAATTTAAAACCCTAATTTTAGGTAAAGTACACAAATCGGCAGAAATAAAATCACATGCTGCATAGAATAAGATGAACATAGACATGAATACTATTCAAAATCCAAGAATCGAACCAGATTTGGTTCGATTTAAAAGAATCTAAAACCCTAATTTTAGGGTAAGTAAAAAAGAATCGGCAGAGACAAACAAATTTACACATAATAGGTCGAATATAGACTAGATAACACTTAAAATCAAAGGCTTGAACCAATTTTGGTTCGAATCAAAGAAAATCTATAAACCTTAGCTTTAGGGTTAAATACGAATCAACAAAATATGAACAAATCAGACTCACACGGTGTAGAATAAACGTGTGTGGACGGAATATCATCCAGATTCAAGAGGTGGAAGTCAATCGGACAGAATCAAAGTAAGAGTACTTGCCATGTTTAGGCAAGTACTAGGTAATACCATAGAGAATCNAATTATTTTTTGCATAAATAATGTAATTATACATGCATATGGGCTATTATTGCAAAATGTGCAATTNCGGTAATGGAAATATATGGATATGGTAAGTGAATGGGAAGAAAATCCCATAAGAAGAGGGATTAGGAGAGGGGTTTATGCGAGGAGATGGGTTAGGNAATATTTAAAACCTCATATTGGTATAAATTATAAGTTTAGATGATTAAATCATCATAAAAATAATTTGGAGGGTAATTATTAGATATTTATATAATAAAAATACAGAAATAAATTGATTTAAAGTCTTTAAAAATTATGAAAAATACTCGTGTATGCTTGTAAATCAAATGATGATGCATATGCACTATTTGGAAGGATGATCAATTTTGACTGAACAAGGTGATTTTGAAAGAAACTGGTTTCTGAGATGCCTACATATCCCTGGTTTTACAGGAATCGGGCCATGTGTAGTTCTAGATTCAACGGTGGAATAAACCGATGGAGTTATTGTAAGAACGGACAAGCTATTCTGGATAAGACGATATCGGGATTGTAAACGGATGTATCTGGTAATGGTTATGGATAATTGAATGGTTATCAGATGGAAATGGGTAACAGACGGTGGTTGGTTACCTTTGAAATAATTGCTGGACATGAACGTTGAATGGAAACCGGAGCGAAGATTGCTCCAGTTAAGAGAACGGTTACTTCTTGGATCACCTGCAAACTCAAAATATGATGCATACAAATACATATAGATTATTGCATAAATTTAAGCATGATGCAAATTCCCTCTGGACTATGGAGATCGTCTTTGGACGGTGAGGATGATGTCCTTAGATCGTGATGTCCCGGGCCATGAATTATGAGATAGGGTATTCGCAGGCCANGGGATTCGCAGGCCATGAAATGATGTTCTCGGGCTATGAAGATGGTGCCTCCGAATTATGATTCCTTTGAATAATAATGTACGATATTGAGAGATCCTCAGGCCACGACATGGTGTCTTCCGGGTATGAGGATGATGCCTTCGGACTATGACGCCTTCGGAAACTTTGGCTATGCTTCAGCCCATGAGATGCAAAGACATGATGCTTGCGATGAAATAAGATAGAGCTTAGTCTTGTGTAGAACCGGGGGCAGAGCTTAGCCCCGAGAGAAGAGAATGATGCAAGGTTTTGGACAGCGCAACATTTGTGGTTATGCAAGGAGAGACAAGGCTTAGTCTTGTGCAATATTGGAGACAATGCTTAGTCTTATACAAGGTTGGAGACAATGCTTAGTCTCAT